GGGGGTGTTTTCGGTGGTTAGTTGGAGGGGTTTTTGCGGGTTGGTTTGATTTGGTCGTTGGCTTGTTTGTTTTTTGTGTTTGTTTTGTTTTGTTTTGGTATTGTTTGGAGAGAGATAAGGAACGGACATTTGGACAGCAGTGTAATATGGGGAGACGAGCAGTCATGCGACCACCAAATGCTGGAAGAGTTCAACAAGGAAGGGGTGGTCGAGCCGAGGCAGGGAGACGAGTGTATGCAAAACGAGCGTTGAAGCAGCAAGTTCAGGTACCCTTATCATCAGTACATGCTTACTATATGGACAATCTTGCTGTGTGTTATTGATTCGGGGGCAACATATTCCTTCATCGCTAAGGCGTGCGTTGAAAACTGGGATTGACTAAGAGCGAGATGCAGTTGAATTGGTGGTGTCAACCCCAACGTAGGAGGTTAGGACGTCTACCGTATGTATTAGATGTCCTATAGAGGTCGAGGGGCGTAGTTATAAGGTCAACTTAATCTGTTACCTCTGAAAGAGTTGGAGTTATTTAGGAATGGATTGGTTAGCCATTGATAACAGTTGAAAAATGTTATTTTCATGCTTAAATTATGATACTAAAGCAACCTTTTACTTAAAACTAGCTTGAAATCATGCTTTTATCAGTATTTTCATAAATAAAGAGAGCTGGACAGGTTTATCTTGATTTCAGTGTTTTTGTGCAGTTTAAGGTGAATTTGTGAAGAAGTGAAGAAGGGAGAGATGGAATCAGAAAGACATCAAAAGTGCAAAAGGAGAAGCCGAGTCACCGCTCAGCGGCAGTTTACCGCTGAGCGGCACCAGGAGCTTAGGAGGGGTCCGCTGAGGGCAAAATGGCCGCTTAGGGGAAAACTACTCACACACTCACGCTGACGGTACTTTACCGCTGAGCGGCACACTATGGCTTGGGCCTAGATTTTGTAATTTTAGAATAGTATATAAGCTTTAGGACGTCCTAGGGTTTGTATCTTGGCAAAGACGAAGCAAACATTCTCTCTCTCCACCCTTTGAAGGAGGATCTGGATGCTCAGGCTACCTCTTCACCTTTCTAGGGTTTATAGCTTCATTCTTTCATTTGTTCAGCTAGGTTCACATCAAATGGTGAACTAAACCTGTATGTTTATTGGGGAATCAATGTAATCTTTTGAAGCTCTCATATATGGAATTTATGCTTGCATCTTAATCTAAGATTTATGCTTTCTTTCATCATTAGTTAGGGTTTTTCCTCTTTGCTAATGCTTGCTTTGTTTAACTCATTCAAGCATGATTATTGATTTTGTCGATACGGGAACGTACGGGGAAGTCTAGATCCGGGAATCTCTCCCAATATTATATTGTTGTCGTAAGCTCCTGTGCTAAGAGAACTAATATTAGGAATGCTAGGAATCGTATGAACTCGTAATTAGGGATACGCCTTCTTGACAAGGTAATTTAGAGAGTGGATTAACAATGATGATTTGATTGTTGAATTCCTAAAATATATGAGAGGGATAAGATGAAATGACCCCCAACAACATATTCATAGATATATTTCCTTAAAAGTGCTGTCTTTTGCTTTTGCCATTGATAAAAACTCAGGCATACATGTTTATTTTCTGTTTTGCATATTAAACTTCAATATTTCGTTCTTAAGTCTAGCTAATCAACGAACCACACAACTAAACTAGGCCGTGAGTCCTTGGGAACAATAATTGGTTACCAAGTTTATTACTTGAACGATTCGGTCATACTTGCCGATTGTAAAACAAGTTTGTGACATCATATTTGGTGATCATAAATTTGGCCATCAAGTTTTTGGCGCCGTTGCTGGGGACTCGTGGTTTAACTGGTTAATTTGTGTGATTATTGATTATCTCTTGACTTTACGTTTGAATTTCTGTTTTTATTTTCTGTTTTTATTTTTCGGTTTTATTTTATCTTACTTGATTGATTTGATTGATTTTTTTATGTGATTAGATTAGATTTTATTTTATTTTATTTTATTCTATCTTATTTTATTTTATCCTCTGAATCTTTTATCTTCTGAATCTTTATCTTCTCCTATATCTCTTTGTGCTAACAAATATTTTCTAGGGTTTTGTTTTCTTGTGCATGCAGGAAGCAATTAGAACAAGGAGCAAAAAACAACAGAACCTCTTCTTGAAGGTCTAGACGAGAGTAGACGAAGGAGAAGAATTCGAACATCTAGAGAACTTTTCCCTTCTCCAGAAACTCTCTTACAATCATACCACAAGGTTAGCGGCCATTTTGCCCCTCAGCGGACCTCCCGTAAGCTCCTGAGTGCCGCTCAGCGGTAAACTGCCGCTGAGCGGTGACTTCGGCTTCTCCTTTTGCACTTTTTGATGTCTTTTCTGATTCCATCTCTCTCCTTCTTCACTTCTTTCACTAAATTCACCTTAAAACCTGCACAAAAACACTGAAATCAAGCATAAACCTGTCCAGCTCTCTTATTTATGAAAATATGAATAAAAGCATGATTTCAAGCTAGTTTCTAAGTATAAAGGTTGCTTTTAGTATCAATTTTAAGCATGAAAATAACAGTTTTTCAACTGTTATCAATGGCTAACCAATCCATTCCTAAAATAACTTCCAACTCTTTCAGAGGTAAACAGATTAAGTTGACCTTATAACTACGCCCCTCGACCTCTATAGGACATCTAATACATACGGTAGACGTCCTAACCTCACTAGCCGTTGGGGTTGACACCACCAAGTCGAACTGCATCTCGCTCTTAGTCAATCCCAGTTTCTCAACGCACGCCTTCGAGATGAAGGAATATGTTGCCCCCAAATCAAATAACACACAGCAAGATTGTCCATATAGTAAGCATGTACTGATGATAAGGGTACCTGAACTTGCTGCTTCAACGCTCGTTATTGCATACACTCGTCTCCCTGCCTGCGCTCGACCACCCCTTCCTTGTTGAACTCTTCCAGCATTTGGTGGTCGCATGACTGCTCGTCCTCCCATATTACACTCGCTGTCCAAATGTCCGTTCCTTCTGCAGCGAGTGCAATATTTTCCTCCAACCAACTGAGGGCATGACGACTTGTAATGAGGTCCCCCACACCGAAAACATCTGACCGCTCCATGCTGCCCAGACTGTCCGGCCACAACCATAGCTTGTGATCCACTTGAATTCAATGGCTGTGCTACACGAGCGTACGACGTCCTATTCCGATTTAGTTTATTCCTTGCCAGATTCAGTCCCCGTGCTGCTTGTTGCTTCTTCTGTTGCTCCACTTCAGCCACATTCTTCTCCAACACTTTGGCTCTCTCAACCATTGAGGGAAAAGACTTAATAAAAAGGCTGGATATCAGCACTTTCAGATCACTCCTTAACCCATTCTCGAATTTCCGATACTGCCACTCTTCACTGGTGGCCATAGTATTGAACCTCAATAAATGCTTGAACGTGTTGGTATACTCCGATACAGACTTCCCACCTTGTACCAGTTGAAGGAACTCCACTTCCTTGGCGTAACGAACGTTGTCTGGGAAGTATTCTTCATAGAATTTACTTCTGAAAACTGCCCAAGAGATGGGACTGTGAGCGTCCGCCAAAATAGCCTTCATGCTCGTCCACCAGTGGCTGGCCTCACCAGTCAGTAAATATTCAGTGAATGCCAAGCGATTTTCATCTGGGCACCTCTTGGCATCATAAATTCTCTCCATGTCTCTCAACCACTGATCAGCCTCGTCCGGTAAACCTTTCCCGTTGAACTTGGCTGGGTGGTGCTACAGAAAACTCTCCAAGCTCCACTCCGACCGGTGAGTAGCGTTTGAAGAGGACGCTCCCGGTGTATTCCTAGTGGTCGCTAGGATCTCCATTAGTTGTCTCTGGGTCGTTTCAGAGTTTGCGCGAGCGGCTTCCAAACTCTGTAAAGCGATCGAGTTCTGCTGCATCAAGGCAGCGTTCTGCTGCTATAGCCTTTCGATCACCGATTCCAACAACCTGGTGTTGTCGGACACATCACGTTCGGTGGGTTGTGGTGGAGGAGGAGGTCTGGGTGCCATTAGTTCTCTGAGAAGCAGAGAAAACGATCGTTAGTCATGTTCAAAGAGTTTAAAATAACTCATTAAACACACATTAAGCACACAGCAAAAACATAGTGCACTCATAACCTACAGTGTCCTTAAGAGAACAAAAATGCTCTGATACCAATAATGTAACATCCCAAAAATACAGTAAACACCATATAGTAGAATTAATTACATTTAATGATAAACCAAATCAGACTTAATTAAACAAGAGCACGGTTTTGGCCGAACGGCCTTACATAGCTTCCTAACTAGAATTGAACCATAAGAGAGACAATTCAAGACCGAACGGTTTACAAAATTAACACCGAACGATCATTTAAAAACTTAAAGACAAAAGGCGGACGAACGGCCACCTAACCAAAATAAACAACTACAAGCCGAACGTCTGATGGACAAATTTGTAAGCACCAAAATATGATGTCACAAACTTGTTTCACAATCGGCAAGTATGACCGAATCGTTCAAGTAATAAAACTTGGTAAGACCAAGTATCGTTCTTCCCAAAGGACTCACGGCCTAGTTTAGTTATGTGATTTCTTGATTAG